TAGCTGGTGTCTTACCCGCGCCACGCCCACACGGTCCAACGTAAAATCTAAGCCTCTCCCAGTTAACATATTGGATCATGAGTTGTAATTATCCTACATTAATATTTAATAGATTTCAGTAGGTGCTAATGATAATCTGATTATAAATATAAGCAATGATTGTAAAAAAAAATAATTACCAACAACGTACAGTAGAGTGAAGGTATATTTTTTTCCTGTGAATAAATGATCAATTTCCTAATTTCATCTTGATCTTTCCACCAGAAATATTGCAAGAGTAATAATATTTTACTCGAAATTGTTGAAATATTGTAGATAATCATGACAAAAGATGATTTTATTAGGGAACAAATCTTGATCACACAAGCGGCTTAATGCAAATCAAAATATTATATTGCAGAAATGAACTTAATATAACCCAACTTTAAAACGAAAGCATGTTGACAGATAAGAGTGAATGTTAAATGTGATGATGAAAGCAATTTAAAAATCACGCGACGTTCTTAATATGAAATTTGCACAAGCATTTTAATATTATACAATTATTTTGAAACTGCATAAAATATTCGAGAAAGATTCGCCTCTAGCTTAATTTTGTACACGAAGAAACAAGAAAGTAGAGGAGGAAATAATTAGGGTAATGATAGATTAATGGGAGACGGACAGCTCACCAGCGGAGTAACTGTACACAAAGGGAGGCAGCCACAACAGTTGGGGTTTTTGCCACGAATGTAGGAAAAAATCACAGGAGTCACAAACCTAACCTAACCTTAACCTAAATTTATTTCGGCTACAGGAAAAGGCATCTATATTAGGGTGTGTCATACGGAGGCGAATTTTTGTTTTTTGAGTTTGAAAAATCGGCCCATGGTATTAATGATGTAGTTCTATGTGCAGAATCATGTGATATCTTCAGATTTGAAAAGTTTTTATTTTTTGCTAGGTAAATTTTAACTTGAAATCTTATGAAAATTCAGTATTCCCACCCTTTTACCAACACCACTAAATAGCTTATTTAAAGTAAAGTAAATGTATCAGGTTAATTTATTAGGATGAAAATGATCCAGAATAGTGAAACGAATGATCTTGACACATTTATTAAATTTAATATTCCTTTAGAAAACAAAATCATCAAATACAAAAACCGGTTTTACTACTACGACCCGGTGTTGCTGCACACCATAGAGAACATGTCTTTCTTGCTTCTGTTTCTACTCATCACCTCCCTGCTGACCACCTGAGCTCGGATGTAGCCTTCCCTCCTCTCCTGGCTGTACACGTGACTGCTGGCCTCGCTCACTTGCTGTACACAACGCTCTATACTCTGGGTGTGCGAGGGCCAGGCAGGGACATGCATGGGGTTGTCCAGGAAAGCTCTGACTTGAACATTGGCGAGGCTGCAGGTAAGAGGGGGCTCACTGCCAGCCTGGATGTTATCCAGATCTATGAGATCAGTGAGGGTCTTGGCACCTAGATTGACTTCAGGAGTTTTCCTGACCCTGAAGGAATCGTCACCAACTGATTCGTCATGCCCAGATCCTCTCATAAGTCTCATATCCAAGATCTTTTTGACTGCCACTCTTCTCTCCTCCTCATCCTTACTGCAGAGCATTGTCTGCAGAACTGCCTCGGGATGAGCATACCAGGAAGATCTCCTCACAGTCTGCTCCACAATCTGAACAACCTTCCTTGGCTGACTCCTCAGGAGCTCAAGCTGGAAGAGAACATGCCTCGGACCTTCGGAGAACGATGACTTGACCTTGGTGTTGAACCAATTTGGCAAGTAGACACTCACGATGAATTGGACAATAAGTCTCAGGTTGTGAAGCTGGTTCCCTTTCAGTTTATGATGAGCGACCCAAATTCTGCAGAACCTGAGAGCCGTTGTGAGCCACCTAGAATGTGAGACTGGACCTATCTGCAGGTAAGCAAGTCTATCAGGCATGACCCCAGTTTTGATGGCACTGCAAATCATGTAACCATAGTACTGGTCAGTACTCAGGTCGTCAATGACAGTATGTGCAAGCTCAACGAGTGGAGGGCCAACTGTGATTTTTTCAAAGCTCGGATTTATTTCTAACTCAGTGGCAGAGTCCAGCATCTTGCCAAGAGGACCAGACCATCTGTTGTTTGAAAGAGTCTTGCCATCCAGCTCCTGGATCAGATGTCTGAGTGGCAACTCGTTGGTGTGGAGGTCACAAACAATCCAGACCAGCTTCCTCCCAATCTTCCGCTCTATCCACTGTATGACCCCCCCTTGCCACCCTGTGTTCGTGTTGGTGCTGTCCCCTCCAATGGCCTGCAGGGTCTGGTCTACGTTCCTCTCTCTGAGCCAGTTCACAATGTTATCTGCCACTATCTCAGCTGGTTTCCTGATGTCATCTTTCTCTGGAGTGAAATGCCACAAATACTTCCCTCCTGGTTCACTGCAGCAGGAGTAGTGTTCCTCCTTCACCATGGCAGGGAACAACTTGTCAGAATCTCCAACTTTCATGAACACTTTAGTGTCATCCCTTCTCCCATCAAAGAACAAACAATTGATTCCATTTTCTCTTATCCCCTTATCAAACTCCTCTTCTAGGTTACTGACAAGTTTCTCCTGAGCTCTCCTTACTTTGTTATGATCTATCACCAGGTGAACATCATCAAGTGTTATCAAACCACCGTCAATCCAGGCAGCTGTTGCTATCTCTGCAGTTTCTCTGAGACCAGTGTGGTGTCGCATGCTGGCCAGAGCTATGCTCGGGATATCTTTCCTATTTCGAATCTTATGCCTGGAAGGTTTGGGATCATTATTTTCTGGGTTAGGGACAAAGTCACCATTCTCCTGGTCAGCACTCGGATCAGCCATGGGGAAGTCATTAAACTCTGAATCAGTTTGACTCCAATCATCGGCCTTTTTTACCTCACCCTGGGCCTTCTCAAGTCTCTTTTCCTCGGCAACTCTTCTCCTCTTCTGTCTCTCTGTGGCAGCCTCCTGTCTCTTGGACTCCGGAATATCTTGGCTAGAAATCATGAGAGCCCCTATGCTGCCAGTCTTCTCTCTCTGTGCTTTGACAAATGCCAGTTCGATCACAGGAATCTTCAGTTCACGCTTGCAAATACAGGAGATGTGGGCCTCGGATTTACAGTCACGATCGCATCCAAACTCAGGACAGAGAACAATTGGGCACTTGCAAGTAATTATGTCAAATAACTGGTCCAGTTGCTTGGCAAAGCTGTCCTTAACTGCAAGTTTTCTCTCCCAAGAGAGATATCTCTTGCCTTTTCCCCAACTGGCTAGCAGTCTCTCACTAATCTTCTTCTGACTTGTTATGACTGGAGGCTTGAACTGAGCGTTAGCCAGAGTGTACTGTGCCAAGACAGCTTTGGTCATATCACTGGCAATGTCTTTGTTTGTGTACGTTCTTTGGTTCTTTTCACTGATTTGCCTGATTAAAACACCGTATCTCAAAGCATCTCCCAATGTAGGCAACTCCGACTTCAGGAGCTCTCTCCCAGACCCAAGATAGTGACTGAGATGACTGGATTTTTGGTTCCTCGTCCTGACACATGCAGCCATCGCAAATATTATCAACTTATAAATGCATCAGAATCTGATACAGAAAAAAATATTGTTAGTTGGGTTGTTAAAGAATGAAGTCAGAAAGCAATGTTCACTATTTAATTGTAATGCACTAATGCAGCTGTACGTTAGATTTTCGATAAATTTCACGCTAAAATTTACCTAGCAAAAGGTTGCAAAATATTGAAACTGAAATTATTTTCTGTTTATATACACTAAAATCTACCAAAAAAGTGATGGGGCATTAGTTTTAGCTGATCTTCCCTCCTATGACACACCCTAATCTATATTCTATGATTTTTTCCTAGCCAAAATTGTGATTTCTACGATTTTCCCTGGAACTTTTTTTCATGACACCGTCGCCACTGTCAGTGAGTTTACAAATTCTTGGTAAAAATCATCCTAATAGTTAAAATCAAATACAAATGGATCAAAAAAAGAATTCTGGTGTAAGTTCAAAGAAGGAAAGTCAACCACTGATTATATTTTCACAATTAGACAAATTCCAACGAAGAACTATGAACTCATTGAGACTACCACTTTATTGATTTTACACAAGCATGTACTGTACTGTACCGCCTGGGAAGATATTGGAAGCATAATGTGTTGTCTAATGGTAGACCCTGCTGCCATATGGCATCACAAAAATTGTGACCAAGTCCTAGGTTGCTGATCTGACTTTCTGTCTCATTTACACACGATTGCAGGGTTTCAATATTGTTTCTCTTATTTTGGCAACACAACATTCATACATTGTTTCTCACTATTGATTTTTTTAATGTTTGTGTTCATGGTTTATTATTATTAGTAATATTTTTATTATTATCATTATATTATTATTATTGTTGTTATTATTATTAGTAGAAGTAGTAGTAGTAGTAGTAGTATATTTTCGCCCCTAGGACCTGATGTGGGTTATTAACCTGTGCCCTGGTGAACTAATCCCATAAAAAATAATAGACTATTGCAATATATCAGCAAAAAAAACATTTTCTTATGACCCCAAAAACACAGCAGGCTTGAATATTATAAGTTATAAGCCAGGACCATGTACTATGGTGGACAAAAGTACAGTACCTTCCCTCAGCCCTACCTCTCTTTCCCCCTCTGGCCCCCATCCCCTTTTGGTCCCCATCCCCCGTCATACGCACTACACAGTGCGCCATCTGTTGGCCGATTACAGCACTTCCCTCAGTTGCTTCGTTACTAGAACCTCAGGTGATTCAGTCACACTGTGGCTGGCTGAGGAAAGGAACCTTTGTCCACCACAGTACAGTATAAACACTTTAAACTCAATGCAACATCGAGTTATACTACGGACATAATTTTAGTGTTAGAAATTGAATATGTCAACCCAACTCAAAACATCTGCAGATAAATACTACTACTGCTACTACTAAAATTAAAAACATTTTGAGGACTAGAGAATATTTACCATGACATATCCCCCAGCTTCTTGCTAATCCTCTCCATTTCCTCCTCATCTTTCTCCTTCTCCTCTATGGCGACCACCTCCTTCGTCATATCCAGTTTCTCTGTTTTCGCCTAAAAGAAAAAAAGAAACGAAAGCAAAATATTATTCTATGTTACTAGATGCAAAGGGAGAAATTAAAAAAAAAGGAAGATCCAAAAAAGATTCAAACAAATTTAACTGCAAATAAATTATGAATATGCAGCAGCACACACACACATATACTTGACCTTTTTATGTACTGTGTCTAACGTTAAAACACCACCGTATGACCTCTGTTGGTACAGCGAGTCGTTCAATACTTGGGAGGGTGATGATCTCTCCATTTTTTGCCAACCTCTCGCCTGTGATTATGACGAACCTTAACATAGATTTGTTTTCCTTCAGTTTACCCTGGTTAGACTATACAGTACACACATCTTTAGTTTAATAACACAGAAAATAACCCAGCGGGAACTTCCGGATAATCATAGTCACGGACCTACTTCCCCTTCTCCGACTCCTGATCCACCGTCAAGGCCTCTAAGGAAAATGTTTATTACACCTAAATACTGTACATTAAATGACAACAATACTTAAATGACCTTGAAACAATAAGAATATATATTCATGACCTCAGAGGATGCATTAACGTTTAAATTATGATCAGACCAAATTTTCCATGTATCTTCTTAATAATTTTCTCTAACCCTGACCTCTGATTGGTTATTTATATTTTACAAAGCCACACATTGAACCATCAGACAATGAAAAGGACACGAGCGCAACGATGCACTCACATAAACACAATCAAGGTCGGTTACAGCACAAAACCAACCTTACTAATTCAGACAACACGAGTTGGCAAGCTAACTAAAGACTTGCATGTCGTAAAGCGATGGTCTGGTCGGTCTGGGCTACAGGCTACAATTTGATACTAAACATCAGACGAAAACAAAGAAAATTGCCACTAATTTATTTGCATTAACTAATATTTGATATCACTACGAACATCAGAGAGAAGATTGGAAAAAGTGTCCAATGTAAAGCTGTTATTTTATATAATTATTTAGAGTCAATAAAGGAATTTTCCGTAAAAAATAAGCAATTTATATTTCAGAAAAAAGTATTTAGTAATGCATTTACTTAAACACACTAACCTTACCTAAATCAAAAGTAAAAGCCTAGCATGTGAATTTATCTGTATAAAGACTGGACGGACAAAACAGTGGAAGCCCTGGACAGTATTCCCTTTAATTAACTCACATTGATTGTTGTTACTGTAATCGATGTGCTAGGAATATGGGACTCACAGGCTACAAAGAACTGTACTCATGTAAACACAAGAGGAGCTACACAAAAATAAAAATGAGCAAGATGGCAAGTAAAGTACAGTATAATTATTTATCGTCAACTCCCCGGAGCGCAACACTCAATAGCCTATTGTTTCCACACCGTCGACAAACTATCTACAGGTATAGATTATAAATTCAATATCCGTAATGCTATACTAAACTTGGCGTTTTCTCTATAATTGGGACAAAATTAATCCTGGAAATAAATACGTCAGATCACGCCATGAAGAGTTAAATACAAGGTAAATATTAGACTACTAAACCCTATATTAATACTATAATTCTGTGACACTTTTGCTCCTACTGACAATTTCAATACTTTATAAATACCGTATTATTTTCTTAATCCTAGTGACATGCTTACCACAAAATCTTCAAAATGTAATGGCGAATAAAATTAAAGAACTGTAAAATATAAGCAGATCATGCAAAGATGCACCTAAAGGTTAAAACATGCATTGCTTTTAACAAACTGGTACGAAATGTTAAAGTCTACCTCGCACTAGTCACCTTTTAATCATTGAACGACCATCTAAAAATTAATTAAGCCTGTAAATCTGTACTGTACGTGGTTTCTGTTGTTATAGTTTGGTCAATATCCACCTACTAAGTCTTGAGACAGTAAACTTTGACCCGTAGTCTCCAAACTTCATCAGGTCCAGATCACAATATAGTATGTAGCAGCCAATCATGCCAATCATAAAACTTTGGGATAGCTCGAACGCGAAACTTCGGAACAGTGGAGCAGGACGAGCGGGCACACGGGGTCAAAGCAATATGCCTCAATATGCCTCCTGCTTCACATCACGGTGAAGGCATAAAATATCTCACATTGTAAGACTTACAAGTCATTAATACTAAACGTCATTTTATTGTCGCATAAGCCTGTCAAGCCATTATTCCTTTCAGTATTCCTAGTAACAATTGGCAAAAAAATGTTAGTGACAGTCCTCGCATCCATCACCATCGCACGTCTAATGTCGCCAGTAGTTACTGAAGCATAGCATTTTGCAAGAAATCACATTTAGGTGATAAGTTATATACAAGTTGTAAATTAGGTATGACTCCCAGGCCTTGAGTCTGTTGATGCCTACACTTTCGGCCTGCATCCAATCGTTGACGTTGAAACATGGCGTGGAGCAGGCAGTATTGGTAGGTGTCGCCTGGTCGCTGGCGTTCTTGTCGTCAGACGAGGGTCCCTCAGTATTGATGGTGCTCTCGTCGTGTACCTCATCGATGACGCTAAGGTGTGGGTGAGGTTGCTGACGAGGAAGAAGAGAACTAAAGTTAGGAAGTCACCGACGCTGTAAATTATTTTTACTCGTAGAAATTGATCGAACGAATTGAGCATCAGTTTCATCGTGACTATTAAGTGGATTTCATAGGTATGGCGGCCCGTTGGAGGCAGTGCGAATACAGTACACTGTATGCTAAGCCTTCGGTACACAACGAGGCAGCGTGGCCAGCATTGCACTCGACTGCTTTCACTTACGCAAATGTAAAGTTACCTATTCATAAATGGGTAGACTGGAAGGTGTGACGGGCCCGAACCAACGGCCCTGAAAATACAGTAAACGAGCGTTGTATCTATTTTTGTTTTTATTATTATTTTTTTTACGGGGATTAGCCCACCCGGGCATAGGTCACTGACCCTCATCGGGGTCTGGGGGCGAAAATGGAATAATAATAATGTAGAACCATAAAGAAATAAAAAAATAAAAAATGATCAAAAGTGAAAAAGAATATATATATATATATATATATATATATATATATATATATATATATATATATATATATATATTGTGTTGTCAATAGTAAGAGAAACAATTGAGACCCTTCAATTGTGTGTAAATGAAGCAGAAAGTCAGTTCAGCAACCTGGGACTTGGTCACAATTTTCGTGATGCCATATGGCAGCAGGGTCTACCATTAGACAACACATTATGCTTCCAATATCTTCCCAGGCGGTAGTACCTCCCTGTTTGGCAGCTGCCTACTACCTTGGCCACCAACCATCTTCACTTGATTACGCACTAAAAGTTTTAATTTTCAAATAGGTTGTATTGTAGTGGAACAATCTTAACCTGGTCATTACCTTGTCTTTTGTAGTCTAGCTTCAATTTACAGCAGAAGATGCACAGCAATGGAGGCATAGAAAATTAATAAACACGGTGTTACATAGAAATCTGGATTTTCGGCAAAGTCGAACTGTGTATTATCTGATTTTTTTATTTAACATGTAGACTATCTTGTTCACGTGTTGTTTTATCATAGCATATAAACTGATGACCTATACCCACATTGTTTCACCTTACTTAACGTAACTCATTAATTACTAGCGCATTAAGTCCATAAAATTCCATTAAAAAATAAATGAAGACCCCAAACGAACTGATACCCTGAACCTTCAATCGACGGTCATATATTTTCGAATATTGGTACAGTATACTCAAACTTGGCACCTTGCCATCCGCATTTCTATATCAGTCTTACTGTTCCATGTGTATTTACTATTTACTAACGCAATGTAAGTTGTTTTAAGCTAGGGGAAAATCTAATGTTATTTAATAATATTCTTAAGATATATGAACACTATCAGGCGTCTTTCAAGAGAGCTGCAGCAACCGAAAGGTTCAACCCTATTAATATTTTTGGTTGTCATTTATTTTTAATTATTCTAGCTAAGTAAACTCGATCAATTTCACTGATGTCCGTAAAACATCCAGAGAAAAGATTTTAATATTCTGTGAAAATTATATATCGTTTTTTTCACACCAAAAATATACCGGAAATGAATCTCGATGACTGTAACAACTTCTACAGGGTGAAACTCGAAAGACTATAAATGTGGAGCAGGGAAGGAATTCAGTATCTACTGTACCAGAAAAACAATTCGTGACAAACCAGAGTATTTGTAATAACGAGAATGCACCTACCGGGAAGAAGAATGGTGTGTCGATGTTTGGTGATGATGGCCGCCGACCAGTTCTGGGAGATAGAGCAGGATTGTCTCTTTTGTGATCCTCAAATCGGTTGTCCTGATGCATCCTGTTAATTTGTTTGACTTCGTGTGGGATCCAGTCACTAAGATTCGACTCCAGTTGTTGATGGTGAATATCCCTGTCAACATGTTGAGTATCTGGCCAGTGATGAAGGACGGCGTTAACAGGATTAGAACTTTGCTGGTGATTGAAAACGCCGTTACCTAGATTGGAACTTTGCTGGTGTTGGGGAACGCCGTTACCTAGATTGGAACTTTGCCGGTGTTGGGGAACGCCGTTACCTAGATTGGAACTTTGCTGGTGTTGGGGAACGCCGTTAACTAAATTGGAACTTTGCTGGTGATTTGGAACGCCGTTAACAAGATCAGAACTTTGCTGGTGGAGGACGCCGTTAAGATGATCAGAATTTTGCTGGTGATGGAGGGCGCCATTAACAGGAATAGAATTCTGCTGCTGCTCTTGAGACAATCCATTCACGAAGTTAGTAGGCTCATAGTGCATTCCATTGGCGAGAGCGGTGTTAGGGCGTGTGTCATTCACTTGGTTCGGTTGCTGGTGGTCATCGCTGGTGACGAGGTGAGGCATGGGAAAAGAGAGGTTGTTCTTCATAAACTCCGGAGACGGGAACATCAGTGAGCCCAGCCAAGTAGATGGCGACTGTGGAAGAAACCGACAAGGTGAGTGAAGTGATTACCGCCTAAAAGAAATGAATATCTACTTGCTTTGAGAAAGGAAGGAGCCTCAAATAAAGTAGTAGTAGTATTAATAACAATAATAATAATAATAATAATAATAATAATAATAATAATAATAATAATAATAATAATAACAATTATAACAAACAATAATAATAATAATTAATGCATCTAATCATTCTAAGCTCCTGATAATGTCATTTAAAGGAAAACAAATAATTTTGGGTTCGGGCAATTTTTCCCGGAGTAATGTTGTTGTGTTGTTCAAAACTTACTTGGCTTTTTTGTCATGTAATTTTTCCCTCATTTCCTCCCTTAAAAAAATACGACCTGGTCTGAGATTATTAGACATCATCTCATAATTGGTTCGATCAGTTTATTCCAGATTTGTTTCCAGATTTCTTACTCCTGAGCGATGCAAATATATTTAAAATATGTCCGTCAATTGTCAGCATCACGGAGGTCAACGATTACAAAAAAGTAAATTATTTTATATTCTGGCCAATATAGGCAAGCCTGCATTAAGTTACATTTTTACAATCTATCCTAACAGATCAAGGCTATTTTGTTTTTTTATGTTGAAAGGAAAGTTGTGTATAAAGTTCTAATCTGTTTCATTTTGCACAGGCACAACATTTTTTTTTTGTTTCAATAACATATCAGTTATGGCATTCCTACTCAATGAAATCTAGTTAAGAAACTCATATAATTTTCATATTGTGTAAGTTTGGGGATAACCTCGAGATTCATTTTTGTCTCATTATATAAAAAAAGCCGAAGGTAGATTCAAGACAAATTGTACGTGTTACTCTCAGTCAAGTTAGTCAGGATCGGTGAAGTGATTTAGTTTGTTCATTTCTCCTGCCTTATAAATTTTACCATCGTAGCCTCCAAAACTATACCTGTAGTATCGTACAAAAAAGAGACCTCGATGACCTCTCCAAGTTGGCTTCGTGCAGGCAAAGGTCGCTCCATATTTTGTACACTAGCTACGCTTGTTTTTATACAGTATACTTTTTTTCTGTTTTTCAACAAATCCAAATTAACATGGTACTATTCGAAATAAAACGCCGTATGACAGGATAATTCTGATAAAATTTAGTCTGGTTTCAAAATTTACTCTCTCGCTTAGGGGCGATGCACCAGAAGTAATTTGACATTATAAACGCCTTGTAATATAGAAATACATCTGGCAACTGGACCATCACGTGTGTATGGAGTGGCAGACGCGTGACACCTCTAATTATAGACTGACTACCTACCTACTCACTCTCTCTGTCAGTGATTAATTATGCAACAGAGAAGGAATCCCACACAATTACTAAGTACTATCTACAAAGGACAGGCGGGCAAATGAAAAACAGAGATTGGGATATATGAATGAAATTAAAAGTTGGGACCCCGAAAAAAGATGAAAATGGAAGAATTAGTAAAGACAGCCAGAAATTAGGAAAAGTAAAGTATGGTTTAAATCTAATACTGCCTGCTCAACCACGATATTACTGCAGGGTGATAACAAAAATTATAAATGTATGGCCTGCTGACTCACCTCTGCAATGATAACGGAGAAGCAAGCTAATCTAGACAGTTCAGGTTAGAATTCAATTTTAAATTTCCGGAAAGAGATTTCAACGTATCTAGACCATTGCAACTTTTCGTCTACAAAGTTTATACAAATAATAAAACCTAGCAAATACGATTTAGTTTTTTCCCATTAATTTCACGTTACACCATCATCACATTTGTATTATATTTCCCAAAACAAGCACACCAAATATCAAGAGATACATTGATTGAACTAAACATAACATTTATTCATTAACACGTTTAACAAATTAAATGGATGTGGTTTGATCATGGTAAAAATCACTAAAAAAAATGGTACATTACTTGAACAAACTATATTGAATTAAATATCCTTCCTACGAAAAGATGGCAACGCTCCGAGACGCTGCATTGAGAAAATAACGAGTAACTGAAAATGAGTCATATTATCACCCCTCAATGATTGTTTTTTTTTAACATCTCTCTCCCTTATCATAGGTTTCTCGCAAAAATGCATGTTGTAAATAAAAGCTTTATCGCCGAGATCAAATTACTTGCAACTATTCCTTTTGCCGAAAAACTGAAATATTTGTGCCGTTTAGTAATTGGAGGACAAGTCGTTATACTTCAGTCGAAACTATAACGTTATTCGGAAAAAAAAGGATTCAGTCGAGAAAACATCAGTGGTTATGAATTAGGATTTGGCCATGAGTGCTAAAACGCACTTCTGGAGGAGTGAAACTGTACGAAGGTTATTATTTTGTATTTGTTTACGTCTGCAATGTGTTTTGGCAGCCAGCGGGAAACCCAAGGACAGGGGGCATCTGGCCACGTGCCTCATAGCTCTACGACGAGCAGTTTTATTTAATGAAAAAATAATTCAGCCGGACAGCTTTTACTACAAGAACCAACAAACACTGGAGTTAAAACTTTTATATTCACAATCTCAAACTCTACTAACAAATCATTAACATTTATAGATATAAATACTATTATTAAATTTATAAAGATAACTCTGAGAAGCCACTCCCCTCTGAACAAATAAAAATCAAACACTTTCCTTTTATTTTTCATTAACTCAATATTATATAACGATTGCAAACCTTGCCATGATTAACTGTCTCTCATAACAGAGTTATCCGCTTCAAAGTTGTTCCCAGTAAATTCTCCATAAACATGTTTTGCAAAGCGAAAAAATCTTGCTTGGGAATTTTTCAAATAACAGTGTGTAACACCTTGACATGATGCCAGATGTTTACAAATTTAAAAAAAATCACTTAGACTTGTTTAGCCAACTACAAAGAACTGTGACGTCAAGGGTCAACGTTCGTTAAAAGGTTATGTACAGCAAACGTTTCTATCAAAAGTAAAAACAAACATGTGAAATGTTGGAGGAAAAGAATATAAAAATCTTGGTATTACAGTATTTCACTCTTACAAGTCCTGTCTCATTACGGCGCCAGGCATATAAAATTTGGAAGGAAATTGACTCTCCATAATTCGCTCTATCTAGATGCCTTTTCATATATACAACATGGCGTCAAAAAGAATAAAAAAAATGCACATATGATAGCGTATTTCATAAGCATGACCAGAAAATTTTAATTGGCCCAGATCTAAATGCCAGTATATCAAATTTCTTAGGTGGGAGAGACAGTAGACACGTTTCTTATTTTCCTACCCCCATAATCCTCATTACGTGGACAGTGTATCAATTCACAATCCTCTCATGTTGTTTAGGAGATAATTAGTCTGAAATGCCAATAACGTTAAATACATTAATTTCATCTTTTCTGTCCACTGCTGAAATATTCTCCGGATACCACGCTATTATTCGATACAGCACTTTATTTTTCATCAGTTAAACTTCACTGCGTCGTTCGTCACACAAGCTGATTTTAACACTGGCCACTGGGTCATATATTTGTTTGCTGTTTTCCCCAAAACGAAGCACAAAATCCAACGTTCATTTATAACATAAAGTAATCAACCATCCCCCTGGACTCCCCGCCCACCTGGTACGATGTCCTCCGTAAACTTCCTGACCTCTCGTATGTCTATGGGAAAGGGTCGCGGAAAAAGGACGTGATTGCTGCCCGTATCATTGGGTATGACTTTGCTTGGGAGATTGGTATCCCCACATCCCCTGAGCAACGCTCTTGTGCATGATGCAGAAGACCCGACAGCCGCCCCCTTATCCACTACCTCCCAAGATGTCCCCACACACAACGCTTCCGTGACGCCTGCTGGACCACCACTCCACGACCCCCTGACAGAGACACGATGGTCCTCCCCATACTGGCCAGATACTATGTAAATAATATTGATATTGTGTTCAAGGAATATCCTTCCTTCCTTAGGCTTTAGTAAGCCCCTTTATAATATTTATACTGTATATACTTGTGACACTTGCCAGATGCTTCTGGTGTTATTGTACAGGGGTACCTAGTGACAGCACTAGGATCCTGCTTCTTCTATCAAGGAATAAACTATTGAAATTGAAAAAAAAATTGAAGTAATCAAGTTTTGAAGGCTTATCTGTTTTTCCACAGCTCTTAACTGTCACCTTCAGCAGGATTTTGGAACTTCTGGATAAAAGATCCCTCAAGGTGTTTAGATTTCCTCGGCAACACTTCTTTTTCCTCTCGTCTGCCAACTTCGCCCCGCGTCACATGGTTATAACACGCCAGTCGCCACCACCACCACTACACAAGTTATATTTAGTAAAGCTTGCCAACCGCCACCTTTACCGAGAATTCTGTCTCCTCTAATGGCTCCACATTTTCCACTATCGATTTTAGAGACAGAAAACTATGACGGGACAGGCAAGACTCAACGTTCTAGAATAAAATCTTACTATGAAGTGATTGCCTGTGTGTTTCACATTGTAGTAAACATTTTTTTTTAGTGTTTGTAAGTTTCTTTCTCTTTGTTGTGACTGCTATATTTTCAAACATATTGCGCAATGTTTACCCTAGATGGCAGCCTCATGTGCAGTTTTCTATCCTATAGTATCTATTGTGAATAACTTGCACGGTTACTATCTGAGGAAAGTAAATATTTATCCCCCAAAATTACTATTGAAACATCAAGAACACGAATCACTGCCAACAGTGATAATGTAAGATTCTCTTGGCAATATGGATCACCGATGTCTGGGTTGTGGAAAAGGATTCTTCCCTGAGTCTCTCCACCATGGTGATAGACTCTGGTCACGCGTCCAGCCTGGTGGTAACACACGCACATCACCCAGGACAGTGAAGCTGACATTCACACCAAGCTCAGGAGTGTGCACCATGGTAACAACCTAAAGGTTCAAGGCTAGCGCCCTGTCAAACCACAGTTGGATCTTTGCCTAATGTGTTGACAGCCATTAATTCAACGTCAGTTCTAATAGTACAGTCACCCTTAAAAAAATAAAGACAGCTGTACCTTGATTAGGTTGGTTTAAGATTAGGCGTAAATACTATGTTGCACATGGCTTTTTTTTTATCCAGGGAATATGACAGGAGATCAGGGGGGCATCTTTGACTCCATAACATATCTCATCAATATAATCTATACGCTCCAAAAATAATAGTAATCCAAATATCAGAGGATTTTATTCAAGACTGCAGTTTCTAGCTATACTATCATTCGACAGATATCCCAAAGGATTTATTTTTTACATTCCCAATCCCCGCATAACAAATAAATAAAATTATTATGACCCTTGCCAACAGTGCTTAACAGAGCACTGACCGACCGGCCAACCGGCTAGTAAGCTGATATGTGGCGATGAGGATAAAATGAATGTCCTTGTCACGTGTGTTACAAATTTGAAGCAAGTCTCTCAAGGTATTTTCAAGTTAATCTCAAGGTATCGACTGAAAGCGGAAAAAAATCTCTTCAAAACCACTTGTAAGCCCTCCTCGTGCTAAAATTCCCTGGCGATCTTAGGGAGTAATAAAGAACTTCCATTAAGAAAAGGGTCAGCCGAAATATAATCTTTCACACAATACAAATGCATTCGTTCAATTATTCATATCATGAGAATGATGTAAATTCTATGACAACGTATTTTCTTAAGATGAAAACAGCAGCGGAACTTGGACACATTAACAGGTTAGGCAAACAACCGGCACTTCTAATATACTAATACATCCAATATCCTCAAATTAGTGATCGGTAAATTACCATGAAAAACAGTCATCTTATCATACCCTCAAGACTTACGGGGTTCTATTGAAAACGTTATATCTGGAGACATTTTTACTACACAGGCAACTGCTGGCTCGTATCACTGGCAGAGGGGCGCTTGTGGTAGAAGCGGTACCGCTCTTTGCAAGCAAGATATCGCGGGTTCGATTCCCGGGCAAGCGGAAGTTGTTTGGAGCTTCTAAACTTGAACTGACACAATCCGAGGAGTGGTGACCCGAGGATCACACACCCAACACAGACAAAAACCAAATACGTGCGCTATGCGCTAACCAAATAAACGCAGTCGTGTAAAGCCACGGCACTATCTCTCCCACTACAATTCCCTTCCTAACCTCCTGCTCCTTCCTCTGTCATCTTCCCCGCTCTGCCTTTCGTTATCAACAACTTTGGAGCTTCTAAACTTGAACTGAACACTGGCAATAAACTTACGCCCGCCTCCCATGACACTTCCAGTCCTACCATGTGCACGGTTGTAGTTAGTTATTGTCTCTTACAATCTTGACCCATAAATATATATACATTAAAGCTTAGTTTATGATGCATAATTTCACGGGTCCCGAAAAAACATTTCTTCGATAATGTTGATATTCTCTTGATATCGAACTTCAGAAAAACAAATATCCTCTAACGATCAAACCAAAATAAGGTTTATGGTAAACAAGAAATAACTACTATGCAGTGACTCAGTTGTGGCTGCGGTGGCGCGCCAGTCAAGGGTACGAGTGTAAAAATAGACCACATTATGTTGAGTACACTCTTCTAATGCTTAGTAGAATAATATAACTCATGTTACTTGATAACATCTATCCAATTAAATTAAAACTTTGTATTATTTCTGCCTCATACACCAAGGATGCTATAACGGCTACAATTCTAAATATCCACACAAGCGGATCTAGAAATTTCTAATGGGTGGGGACAACAAGCACCAACACCTCTACATGTTTATTAGGGGTCACGTACCTAATTTCATCCTATTTGGATCTGTAATTTTGCCTCGAGCCAGTGCAATGGTAGGCGTGCAATATGTCGAAAACATTTATCTAATTCCAAAACAAAAAGTCCAACTAATTAAAGTCTGGTTCCAATACGTACACATTACACTATAATTATATCACTGACGGCTGAATAAAATATAAAGACAGCTACAGGCTTAGGTGGCAATAGTTTAACCAGTCTCAACACTCATACTTTTGCTCGCTAGATCAATAAGTTGTATCGCAATGTGTGTTTTCTTGCGCATATTTAATCGTTTAGTTGAAAGGTATGCAAATAAATTACAAAAATACCCTTGAACCAAAAACTACACTATTTTTCCTCCCTTACCCTCATCATGACAAACTTTCCAAACTGTCGTTGCCAGTTTCCCTCTTCAACATTTAGATAATAACCAAAAAAGGTCAACTTGAACTCATATACTAATAAATCAATGTATCGTGGCACCAAATTGTAGATACAGATTAATCAATTTACATGTACATGTTTCAATATTTCTTCAAGTTTTTAGATGTCCTAAAGCTATACGCTAACTAATACTCAAAGCATAGAAATGGCTACTGAGGGACTTCTTAAACAATGGAAAAAGCAACTTACCGCCATGCAAGACAGTTCCTCAGGTATAGTTGGACAAGGGCCTTCTCTAGCCTAGCTCTCTCAGCGCGTACTGCTTGAACTTGAGATAACACTCTGGTATTTGTTCAATATTATATCTCCTGAAAAAAAGTAAAAATTCAATAAATCTTTACAAATTAATTTTCTGTAAACACTTAAGATTTATAACTGTAGTTAATATGTTGAACAGCTGGAAAATCCCAGTATCACTATCAGGTCTTTCATAGAGGATTCAACATTCAAGATTTTATAAGACGACGAAATAGGAAGTCTCTTCACCTTTGACACGTAAAAATAATATATGAAAACTTCTACACTACAGAATTCAAATATTAACTCCCGTACGACAGTTGTGAACTTGCGAACACTTTCAAAGCTCCAGTGGGACTGCAGGCCTGGGGAGTGAACACCGGCCAAGATTATCACTCGTACAAGGTAACTTGTGAACACCTGTGTTACCGTATTAGACCCTGTCTGCGTAACACCAGACAGTGTGGGGTGAGCTTCAAGGTACACACAAACATGTATGAGTTACACACAACCCCAGATTTTCAATACTATGTTCTCCGGCAGAAGTACACAACGGTCTGATGTAACAGCTAACCATGTAATGTCAGTTATTTACCTGACCTTGTAGTGAGGTAACACATACGAACCCGATTAGTTCACTAAATCTATATAAAAGTAACTAGGTCTAGAAGCCCACTTCCACTCATGGGAACATCACGGAAGCCGACTAAACACACCTTCAGATTCCTGATCCCTCATTGGCTAAAGTTCGACCAAGCCACGCCTTTTAGTCTAGGGCGGCCCACGGCCTGTCATATGATTGGTCAAATCTGGAGCAGTGAAGAACCAACATTGGTTGAGTGCATTATGTAACATTACTACACACATGTGAAGCTGTTTTAAATTAGCTACAGAATAAATCCCGAGGAATCCGTGAGTGGGAAAGTTGAATTCCCAGTTACAAAGCATATCACCCATACAATTATCTGAAATGCGCTTAACTAAAATATGGCAGCGTAATGGCAAAATCCTCAAATTTTGAAACAGGACAGTAGGATTTTGCCAACTGTCAGAGGATTAATTGAATGTCATAGGATGTATCCAGGTTAGTTGACAACCACATTGTGAACTATCCAGAGCTGAACAATATAATAACTGCAAAGATTTTAATAAATGTACAGGTAAAGAAACACGCAGTTATTGTTTTTAATTATGCATTACTCAAAATATTGTAATAGCTTGAACATTGGGAGGGAAAGTTATGTATAATTAATATTGAAAAGCATTTTTTTTCCAGTGTAACTATAGTTTCTTGTAAAAGACGACATTTCAAAATAAATACAGTAGTACCAAATAAAATTATTTCTTTCTCCTTTTCTTTACACAATACAGACCTAAATGAAACAATGCGGGGAGGATGGTTTGAGATTTGTATATACCTTACTTTATAAACTCTTTTGAACCAGAGGCAGTCATTGATTGAATTCTGGCCAGGATGGGGTCTTTTAGTTGTGCCATCGAACCTTGTCATTATCCACGCAAAATGTCCGTGTTTAATCATCGGGAAAAGTATGCAGAAGTTCTTAGTCTTCATAAGATCTGTCGTTCCGATTCCCATTAGTTTGTTTGAACCAATCTACTATAGATGAACCCCCTGCTGGGGAAATGGGTAATTAACCAATCAGTGTTTTTGGTGTGTTGCTTTAGGCTAGGTCATGGGGTTCCTTTAAAATAACAGACTACTCTTTCCCACCTAGCAGGTGCTTCCCGTGTCCATTAGGCTTCTCGAATGTGTCAGGCTCAAAGACAACAATGAGCCTGGTAATATGCTATTGCTGGCAGGTGTCCTTTTCTGGTTGATATAGCTGTTTATCAAGCAATATGAGATGAGCGTGTAAACCCTACTTAGCATTTCTTGTGATAGGAGAAATAGTATATCTTGAGTAACATCCTTTAAATTTAAAAGCTTGGAGGCGCTCCAGAATGTCAAGGTTAATCAGGTCTTGTGTACTTGTTTCTTTACTCTATAACCTGATGTCTGTTCGGAATTCTGTTCTTTCTTATTTTATATATGTGGGTCCTTTCAAAATTTTCTTCACATCGAAAACACTTTAACCAGACTATTGTTGCATCAAAGGTTCTTTCTATAAATTTTTGGGGTAATGCTGATATCGGATTAATTTTGATGTACTGTACCTTAATTTTCGATTATTTGGCTTTCAATTTTGATTTTGAGGAAAGTATATTTCATATATAAAAATATTTTTTATGAAAATTCAGTGTGGTAGACCTAATTTCAACTTAAATTTGTTGAACTTGGTCACTAGAATCTTAAGTTTGTTAGCATGTCGACTTTTTTTATGTTATTATTGCTGGACAACTTAGAAAATGATGAGGATAGCAACAGTCTCCATTTATACCTGTATTTGAACTACAGCAGCTTATAAAACATATTCACTTAAATTACTTTGAAGCCACTTTCCCGAAACTCTAGTTAACTACAGACTAGTTTACTTGAGTGTTGCAAATTTGTGCTTTTCTGTTAATTTCATATTTTGAAAATCACATATGCGAAATTATACAAGCGCAGGCAGATTTTTTCAGCAGGTTTGATATAATTAGCAAACTGTTTTCCGGGTGCAGACTATTTATATGTTTTTTCACTTCCGTCATATTGTTCCTTTCCCCTGTTTCATCTCTTCGCTGGTCTGTAATTCAACAACTTGCCCGTTAAGTCATTTTTGGTAATTAGTCTTTTATGGGGATTGTTTAAAGATAATGAGACCAGTTATAAACAAATTCTACGAACGGTTTTTTTATACTCTATTGTGAAAGGTCAAATACATACTTAAATAGTGGGTGACACGCCCATAGACTTCCTGTAGGTTCAAACAAATGAAACTTAAAAATTACCTAATAATTGTCCTCCCAATCTCCACCTGAGTGACGAGCGAAGAACAAAGAGATGTTTGTAAACTTTACCTGGTGAACGGGATCACATTATGTAACGCAACCTTTGGCGCCAACCTTCTTACCATGGTAACTAGAGCTCCTCGCCAAGTGTCATCTTAGTACAATTCACCATGCGTTGAAAATTCGCTACGTATTTGTAAACTTCGAGTGTTTGTTTGCCTGGTATCTTAATTGTTGAATGCACTGAATAATCGCTTCTAAACGTTCACATTATTTTCCTCAGTACTGTACTGTCGCTCGTTGCCCATTGTTTCTGATCTAATGTGGTCAATAATGAAAATATCCGGTCATTCGTCTATGTATGAGGTATCGCCTTCAACTTTACAAATCAATTTAATAAAGGCTATTTAAACTATAGTTTTTGTTCGGCAGGTCAGAGATAAAATTCACAGAAACTCGGAATTACTATAAAAAAAAATCTTGAGGAAGTTCTCAATCGTAGTTTATATTCCAAAGATTTTTTCACCACCTGATCAAACTAAATACAATAAGAAACGTCAATAATAATACGATAAAATATTTTAATATACATTACCGAACATTAAGTACCACAGCTCATGACACTTCGTCGAATGGATGACTCATCTAGGTTCGAAATATCTCAACCCTTGACAGAATATCTTAATAACTGACTCATAATACCAATTTCCGCTGAAAAAATGGAAACGTCATTTGTTTTCTTACACTAAAGTACAATACTGCACAAGCCGCGAAGTGTTCAGAGACCCCTAACTGATGGTATTACTGGTATTTATTTCATTAGATGTGATACGAAATACTGTTATACTGACGGACACACACAGCAGTTGTCACTTTTGGCTCTGATTAGTCCTCGTTATATCCTCCCTACACTCCTTTCACTTCCACCACGCCCATATACTGCTCTTCCCCCTTTCACCTTCTACCTCCCCTCGCCCACACGGTTGGATCAAAGCCCAAGCTGTGAAGTGACGAGGTTCACGCCCCCGCGACCAAGTACCATTACACATAATCAAATATACTCATTATACGCTCCCTGGGAAGCACCTAGCTGTAAGAGGTATGACAAATTTTAATCTGACAAGTAATGTTGAACACCGTTGACGGCAGACTACTGACCTTGCCAGCCTTTGAACGGTTGCATAAACATTGTGCCCCAAGAAACAAAATAATTGACCAAAGCACTTTATGAATTAGTGACAATGCGAGTACAGATTCAACTAGAGTTGAGACAAGACAAACCAGTCACGGTAGAGATGATTAATCTCCCATATTTACTTTTGGCTCAGCGTCTGGTCTCGAGTTCTTATTGACGTCACTGTTGCTATTTAAGAATTTATCCGTGCGCTTACGTCTTTGGAAAAGTTGCGTGTCCAAGCGTAAAGTGAACAGTTTTATTTTCATCATTCACTAGGCCTACACACCGCGTCTTATTTCCTTTAGAAAGCACTACAGGGTATTTTTAAAACGTAGCTTTGTCGGTACCTGATATTCAAGGGCACGACCAGAAATACCCTGGCCAGCCGTCACTACTCAACGGTACCCGCCTTCCACGCACACCAGAGCCTTGACACAATGGTTACAGAGATAATTACTTAATTCACAACTCCAGTGGCACACTAATCCACTTTTTTTTTTATTCCATAGTGTCACTACCAAGGATACACTTATTTCTTCATTAATTCCTGAAAAAATAGTGATCAACTGCTGCAGGGAATTGTGAAGCCACGCATCACCAATAGCAGATCTTATTAAAGCCAATAAATTACAAATTAATATTAGTGGTATTTCAGTACAAAATCGTCTCCTTTCGTCCTTTTTCCCAAAACAACAACAAACATTTACCTATACAGATATTGTACGTCTTCATATTTTCTGTAGTCCTTCATTTACTTATAGTCATATATCACATCTTTGTAATCTATTTAAAAAATGAACGATATATATATATATATATATATATATATATATATATATATATATATATATATATATATATTCACATCTTCAGGGGTGATACAGACCTCTGTACTCACCCTGAAATACAAAATTTCCTATGTGATTACATATATATATATATATATATATATATATATATATATATATATATATATATATATATATATATATATATATATATATATATGTATGTGTTGGCATACTCATTTGGTTTGAACAGTTAAAAAATGCAAACAAGACAGGAATGTTTAGAATTTCTTTAACAACCATTTTGCATGCTGTACTAAACCATGTATTGACCCCTATAAAATAAACCAATGGTAAATTCATTTAAACATTTTCACAAATCAGTAACAGCCCTTCTCGATTTTATTAAACTAAACTTTACTCTCAGAAAATGAAAAATATTTTATTAACAGAAAAACCAAATTTTCAATTACAAATTATTTAATAAATGAACTACCAGTATAAGTATAACGTGTCTTCAATGAGATTGATAATTAACTAGTACATACAATCACATTTATCATTTGACTATACTGTATATATCTTTGGATCACCTGAAGACTCTACTCCCACGTTTAATTAACCTGA